TGCTCACTCGGGGCTGGGGGGGCCTGGTGCTGGGCTGCAGGCAGGAGATACAAGGCAGGAAGTGGCATTGAAGAGCTGGAGCGTAAACGCAGCCTGGAGGGGCCGTCCCCGCATCCGCTGTACGTCAGCATCACAGAGGGCGGGGCGGCCCCAGAGGGAGCGGATGCTCCTCGGGCGGGGCCTCCCCGGCCACACTGTGTGCAGCTCTCGGGGGTTTCAGACTCGCCGACGTCCAGCCGCTTCATCCATGCGAGGTGACCCAGGGACCTTCACAGTGACGCCCGCCATTCACGGAGGGTGTCGTGTCTCCAGGCAACGCACCGTGGTTCACCATCCTCTGCCCCCCACCCTGCACCGTGCGTGCGGTTATGGTGCCCACCGAGACACGTGGACGGGGCGCATGGCCGGGAAGCAGAGGGTCACCCCAGAGCCCCTCAGACCCAATCTCAGCTCTGTCTTCGCCGCTTCTCCTGTAAAACGGGGTTCTCGGCGGCAGCCCGAGTCCTTGTCCCGGACCCCAAACCCTTGCTCTCGACCCGCAGGCTTCCCCGAAGTGCCTAAGGGTGCGCTTTACCCGCGGACGGTCACGCCACAGACTCTGTGACAGCGTCTGCCTGTCCGGCAGCTCCGTCTCTGGGGAACACGAGAGAGAGAAGGGAATGCGTGTGGAATCGCGTGTGTGGATGGCCACGTGCGTGTGCGTGTGCGTGTGCGTGCCTGTGCACGCAGTCTCGGCACCCGGTCCGCGTGTGCTCCGCGTGTGCTCGGAGCCTGGCAGCGTCACGCTGGGCGGCAGGGACGTTCCTGGGATTTTGTTTCTGAGTATTTTGGTCCCTGCTTGGGTGAATCTGTGGACGTGAAATGCGTGTAGACGGAGGGCTGACTGCAGGTGCACGTGCGTGTGCGTGTGCGTGTGCGTGTGCGTGCACGTAACACACACGCACAGAGCCAGAGTCCGTGAGCCCAGCAGCCTTTGCTGTGCTGCCTCAGGGGGCTGCATGGCCTGGGCTTTCAGAGAGGTTTGTCAGGGCCTGACTCGGAGCCCTGGGGCTCTGGGGGGACTCGCCCCGCCCCCAGCTTCCAGGGGTGGAGGGGGACCAAGGCCTGGATGTTTATATTTTGCAGGTGGCAGGTCTATGTTTGGCTTGTGACTCAAGGTGGCCGGCAAGGGGTCGACGAAGGGACTTTTCCCGAAGCTGTGGGGACAGGCCCTATGTTTACTCTGAGGCTGGAACTTCGGGGGGTGCGTGGGGAGCGCTTTGCCTGGACGTACCGACCTCGCTCCGGCGCAGCCATCGCAGACCTCAGACGCCCCTCTGCTGGCTCAGTCCTGGGAAGGGAGACATTCTGTCTCTCTTTCTAGTTATTTTTTTTTGGCTAAAGCCTAGTTTATAAAACTTTTGAATAATAATTTGCAATTAAAAGATTCTCTCTAAAGTGAACATCAGAACAGGACTTCCTCCGTCGCACGGGGACAACTGTCTCCTCGCAGTAGGCGAAGTCGCGTCCCCCAGGAGGCACGTGGGAGTCCCTAACCCCGGTCCCTGCCGATGGCCTTATCCGTTAGGAGGGTCTCTGCAGACGGAATCGAGCTGAGCTGTGGCTGGTGTCCTTGTCAGGGGGGGCATCCGGCCACAGACACTGGGACAAGGCCGTGTGACAACCGAGGCTGAGATGAGAGTGGTGTGTCACGCGCCAAGGGACCCCAGTGGCCGGTGACACCAGAAGCTGGGGACAGGCACGGAAGACGGCCCTTCACAGCTCCAGGAGGACCCCGCTCTGCCGACTCCTTGGCCTTGGACGCGTGGCCCCCGGGGGGTGAGAGACACGTCCCTGCATGTGACACGCCAGCTGGTGGCGATTTGTTTCAGCAGCGACGAACACGCCTCCCGAAAAGCAGGAGCCTCTGTACCCCTCGCTCTCCCGTCTCTGGCTTGACACGTGGATCGGCATTTTCCCAAACCCACATCCCCCGGGTCCGCTGGAGAGAGGGCGGGAGCCTGATGGGAGGGTCCTCAGGCCGGGCAGGGCCCCCTGGTCCACGTGAGACTCGGATCTGGGCCTCTGGCCGCAGCGTCCTCTGCCCTTGACCCCGCCTCCATCACCTCTCCGTCAGCCCCAGGCCGTCAGTTCCCACCGGACTGCAGGGCACAGCCGTGCTGGGGGGCACCCCGGTCCCCCCGCCGTCCTGCCAGAGCCTCAGCGGCTGCCACCCCAGCCAGCGGGCACTGGCGAGGAGCTGTGCCTGCATCTTGGGAGGTGACAAACGGGTCAGTTACTTCACATTACGAGCCTTCCCGGAGGGACACACAGACACCGCTCGCGTGCCCTGCCAGGGTGTCTGGCTGCGGCCTCGTTCGTCCGGGGGTGTGAGGGGGGCCGAGGCCAGCTGTCACGGGTGAGCCACACCCCTGGGAGCCCAGCGACCTCTCCCTGGCCGGTCCCTGTGGCCGTCAGCTGCCCTCTGTCTGCTGATGGGTTCAGCTGCCCAAGACCCTCTGGCCAGAGGCTGCTGTTACGGGCGTCATGGTGTCCCCCCTGCCCCCCGCCCAAACTCACATGTTCCCCAGACTCGGCGTGACCTGGTTTGGAGCCGGGGCCTTGTGGGCATCAGTAGTCGAGGCCCTGCGGGAGCGGGGTGGCCTGAGCCTGCACGCCGGGCGGTTGTACAGGAAGGGCACGTGCGGACACGGCACATGCACCGTGTGGGCGGTGCCACGTGAAGGTGCAGGCGGAGACCCGGGGCCACCGAGGGTCACCGCCACCAGAAGCTGGACAGAGGCCGGGAGCGGACGGCCCCCCGCAGCCTCAGGAGGAGCCCGCCTGCCTGCGTCTGCAGCAGCGACGGTGGACACCTGCCCTGCAGCCCCCGCCCTGCAGCCCCCGCCCCACGTGCGGGCCCGGCCGGGGCCGCCCCGGAAGCCCGTGCAGGTGGCGGGTCCCAGCGCCGAGGGCCGTGAGGAGCCCCAGTGCTCGCTGGGGGGTGCCAATGACCCGCTTCTGCTGGCTCGGGGTGTGAGTTTGTGGTCCGGGGCCCCACAGTGGCAGAAACGAGGGGACGGGCCAGGTGTCACTCGCCCTGCTCAGAAGACGTCCCGTCGAAGCCTCAGGCGAGACGTGTGTCTCCTCGCTCCGTCCGGGCACACAGGCCACGCCCCGGGTTGTGTGACAACAGCACCTCAGCTGTGTCCCTAAGGCGGCGCCATCCTGTGGCCCTAAGACAGACAGCGCCATCCTGTGGCCAGTCTGGTAAGTGCCGATCGGTCCTGGTTCTGTGACCTGTCTCGTCATCCTTTATAACTTAGTGTAAATGAAAACTATTGTTGTTTATCACCTGCCCTAGATACAAGGCATCTGAGGGTGAGCTCGGGTCTGGCATAGTCACTGCTCTGTCCCTACCGTGTGCAAGACCTCCTAGCACATAGTAGGTGCTCAGCAAGCACCAGTGGCCTAGGGGAACGACCCGCTGCTCGGTGCCGTCTGCGGCGTATGGGCCGTTGTGTGGCTGCCGTCTCCCCCCGACCCGTCCCGGCTGCCCTGGTCAGAGGGACCGTTTCTCACCCAGCCCGGCGTCCCCACGGGCTCACACCCGCCTCAGGGCGCCGACATCTGGCGTGTGAGGGAAGGACGGGGCCATCGTCCCCGCTCCGGCCCCCGCGGAGGCTGGGACACTCGTGGGCCTGCCCCGGCCGCCCTCACCGCCGGCCGTCTGCGGGCATTTAGCGGGGAGCTGCGCATGTGATTGATCTGCAAACCCTTTTAGGTCCTGAAGGAGAGACAGCGCACAGTGCACTTTGTCACCGTGTGTCATGTCGCCTCGGAGCGGAGTGGCATTCCGCCATGCCGAAGTGTAATTGGATTGTGCCGAGACCTGACATCTGTGTCCCGTTCACCAGAGGCCACGGCGTTTGGACGGCCGTTTGTCGTTGACGACAGCCCCTCGGGAGGGGACCGGCGGTGGGGACAACGGACGGGCAGAAACACGCTGCAGGCAGACGCGGTGCTCAGTCGGCAGGTTTATAAACACACGTTACGACCTCGCGGGCCGCGGTGCATTCTGCACGCGGAGGGGCTGGCCACGCGCGGGCCAGGACAGGGCAGGTAGGGCGCCTGCTGCAGGCGAGGCGTGGCATCGGACAGGGCCACCGCTCAATCCCCAACAGACAAGGTTCGTGGACGTGGGACAGGAGCAGAAACCCAGCCGCAGAGCTGGACAGCGCCTCGGTGGAGGGCAGAGTCCAGGGCCCGCACGGGGCTGGCACGGTGCACGCGCTGCCCACACGGTCAGCGGGGCCGGGGGTGGGGACGGAGGGAGCCACGTGAGGCACAGAGAGAGAAAGAGAGAGAGAGAGAGAGACGGGGAAAGAGGACGAGAGGGCAGCGTCCCAGAGAACGTCACGGGGGGAGCCAGAGACAGACGCTGACTGAACGGCTCGGCCTCTCAGGCTCCGTAGGGTCAGCAAGGGCCCCGCGGCCGTCCTCTGCCTGGGAGAGAGTGACGGTCGGGGTGACAGTCCACTCACCCCCCGACCCCCAACTCCGTCTCTCCTTCCTGGACAAGCGACGGCCGTGCGTCCTGGTCCGTGTCCGTCCCCTGTGACGCTGTCCATCCTCAGACGCCAGCCCCTGCAGAGGCGGCGTGCGGTCACCCGTGGGGCTTCTCTGGGCACTGTCGCCTGGGAGCCGGCACGAAGTCCACGGCGGGACAAAGGACTCCACGGAGGCTGGCTGCGGCCCCGCTGCCCACGAGTGACCGGCCTCCGGACAGGTGGCAGTGCAGGCTGTGGGATGAGCATGGCGAACTTGCCCCCAAAGCCTGGCTTTGGACCTGGCTGAAATCCTAGGTCCCCGTCCCCCGTTTACGCAAAAAGCACAGGTCGAATCCGCAGAGGCTCCGCCTGTGTGTGCTCAGCATCGAGTTCCGAAGGGCGGGCGGCCTGTTCGCCCGCCGTCCCCTCTGTTCGCCCGCCGTCCCCTCTGTTAGCCCGCCGTCCCCTCTGTTAGCCGCCGTCCCCTCGGTCCTCAGCGGCGGCCTTGCTCTGTCGGGGGCCAGGCCAGCCCGCCCGGCTCCGGGGTTAATGTCCCACAGTGGCGCCTCCTAGAGTGGGCGGCCTGGGGGCCTCTGGCGCCCCCCCTGCCGGCCACGCAGGGCTGGCGAGGCCGCCTCTCCCTCCGCGCTCCGCCACCGGCCGAGCCACGGGGATATCACAATGCCCGCCACTCAGAGCAAAGCGAGAGGTGGACGGCTTCCTCCGGGACGCCAGGCGCCCAGATGCGAAGCCCGTGCTTCGTGCGAGTGCTGAGTGTCGCCACGCACGAGGAGC